GTGTGTGTGTGTGTGTGTGTGTGTGTGTGGACCTACCCTCTTCCTGCTTGGCCATGTCCTCAGGGTTGCTTTCGCTGTCAGCGTCGTAGCCCTCCTCCTCCCCCGGGGGCTTGACGCCACAGCTCTGCACCTCGTCCACCTCCTCGGAGAGATCGTCTGCTGGAGCCGCCCCCTCTGCCAACACCTGGAGCTTCTAACAGAGAGTGAGAGAGAGGGAGTGATAAGGAGTGAGAGAGAGAAAGACAGGGGGGGGGGGGATTTCAGTCCCAGCACAGTTCAAATACAACTAAACCGAGATCATTGCCTGGTCAACTGTCAAGCAGATGGTAAGATAAAAATCATTTCACAAGCTCTTATCCAATCTTGTCTTTTTTTTCAAAAAGAAAAACTCATCTGCCAAGAATTTAATACTAAAAATACTAAGAACAACAAACTGCTGTCATATCACTTAAATGAATAAATTGCTAATAAAATGTTTTCAATTGATGTGGAAAATGAAAGAAAGTACGACATTTTGGTCATGAGACAAATATCAGCTGACTCGCACAGCTCAGTTCCTTGATGTGAACAATCAGCCACCATATGTGCACGTAGGCAAACACACACACACAAACACACAGGAACTCCAACTTTTTCTGTTTCAAACAGGAGGTTTACTGTCTTACATACCTCAAGACCAACACAGAGCTTCACAGCACACATTTGCATTGGTAAGTGATCATCACATTGCTGAGTTTGCCCAGAAAGAACTAAGCTCTTAAGAATTGGATAAATCTATTATATAAAAATCTAAATCCTCCTGTGTTGGAACAGGCTTAGTCAGACAGGCATTTTAAGACTTGTGGAAAATAAGGTTGTGAGTTAGGAGGCACCCTCTACCACGTCGTTAGTCCTTTCAGTGAGGACATCCAGATGACAAATGATCATCTCTTAGCTTTGTATTTTCTTTTTTTCCTGTGTTCACCTCACTTACCGGAACAAACAAAAGCATATTACATATCTGCACTTAACCATATATGGTCTTGAAAGTCTTTCATTAATGTTGTCTTTGGAGGAGGCAGAAGTTTTTCTTTCAGACTAGTCACTGTAGTAAGAAATTGTCAACATGTGTGAATCTTAAAAAAATAAAAGGTGCGTGTAACACTCACAGGTTTTCCAGAGGCAGGACTCACCCTGTCTGGCTTTTCCTCAGGGGGATCAGGACAGGATGACACCTCAGCCAAAGCCACTCTCAGGAGAGAGTCAAACAGAGGTACAGCAAGGTCAGAGTTCACCACCCCTGAGCGAGAGAGCTGGTCTCTCACCTCAAACAGAGTTTCTTCCACTGACTGAAGCTACAGAATCAAAGAAATGTAATAGTTTATCTAAGTCCAGGGTAAAAGAGTGAATTTCTGGTTGATGTGGTTAGGGACTAGCTGGTCAGTGTGATATAAAGCGACATACCTGATAAGAAAGTTCAGGCTCTATCCTCTGCAGGGCTGAGTTAGCGCTATGCAGACAGATGGCCAGCAGAGCCTCAAGCAGACGAATACTTTGAAGCTGCCATTCCTCCTCAACTTTCTTTGCAGGATCTTTGGTTTTTCCCTCGCCTTGGCCAGGGCAGAGGGTGTCGGCTGAATCATAAGTAGTCTCCTCCAGTTGGACCGGCACAGTGGACTCAGGGCTGCCTTTGCCCTTGCCATCCCTCTTTTTCTTTGCTTTCCCATCCTTGGTCTTACAGGAAAGTTTTTGGATAACCATTGCCATTAGACGCAGGCAGACATCCAGTCCACCTAGCCTGAAGAACTGCCTCTGAAACAAGGGACTGGCCAGGTAGATCCATCGACACACTGACCAGACATCTGCTGCACGTCGCACCTGCTCTTTGGAGGGCAGGGCTACACTATCTGGCGACAGGTAAGGCAGCCTCCCGCCAAGGGGTTCGCTGGCTGTGCTATCATAACCTGAGGTGTCCTCAGAGTCATTAGCAGAGTCCCGGTCAGAATCAGCCTCTTTGCTGACACAGAGGAAGGCCACACACAGGAAGAGGTTGATAACGTGGAGATGCGTCTCTGCCCGGCTGCGCCCTGGTCCACGACCTTGCCCGCTCCGACTTTTGTGACGTGGATATGCCTCCTTTAAGCCTTCGTAGAACTTGCTTAGGCTCTGCGGGCCCTCTCCAGCCCCTCGGGACCCCAGTTCCTCAGCAAGGCTCAAGACAGCCTCTGTTTCATCGGTATCAGCACCCTCGAGCTCCTGAAGCACCCCGTATGCCTGCTGCTGTCCGATTCCAATGATCAGAATCTCAAACACCTTCAATGCCAAAGAGCGCGTCTGGTCCAGGTAGACGAGCTCTGTCACCTGATTAAGCCCGTTACAACTGATGAAAAGGTCTCTTATAACCCTGTAACAAAGTAAAATAAATGTTAGAAACACAATTAAGAAAAACAATTTCATAAAACACTATACACACAGAATATAAAAATTAGATGTGAACGCCACAAAACTGTTATAGATTTCCTTTCGGCAATAAAAATAAATCTAAACTCTACAACTCATCGATCAAAGGAAAAGCTCCAACCATTAACATTATCGTTGACATTTTATGAATATGATAAATTAAAAGTGAAGGGCATGACACTATAACATTGCCAACGTTCCCAGAATGAGACACATAAAAAGACAACTTTTTATCTATCTGTCACATTGTGTTAAAGTTATTTGAATGTTAATGTTTAGTCAATAAGAAAACTGATAAAACTGGTACACACGCACACTACTGGGGCCCATATTTTATAATTAAATAACACTTTAAAGGCAGGGTCAAAAGTTTTAAAAGAATAATACATCAGCTCTCAGTGGAGGTTAAATCAACATGGGATAAAACAAAACAAAACTCTCAAGAAATGTGCTGACATTAAACATGACTGAAACTATTTACACTGAGTGAGAAGGAACTGAAACAGATGTACGTGTATTAACTAGCTGATTTGTATTTCTCCAGTCTTCCTCTAAATTAATGCAAAGTTGGTTGATTTTGCTTTTTCAGAACATTTCCTCTTTTCATTAGTGGTGAGAAAGTTCATCAGGATGACTATCCATTAGCCTGCATTTTTAATGCTCTGGAGTTCTGTTATGTAGAAAGCTGTGAGCAATGAAAGATGTGTCCAGTGAAAGATGATGAAGAGGTAAGAAATACGTTAGGTGGTTTTTTCCAGTTGACTTGCTTTTACACTGTAAAAAAGAGATGTAAAATTCTGTAGCATCAATTAACTCTGTTTAAAAAAGGTTTGACATCAATTAACCTTAGTTTTTCAATACACTTAAGACTGTGAGACAACAAAACAGTCAACAATTTTAGAAGCAATGATTGTTTGCTTGGAGATTGCCTGTTCAAAAACTACAAAAAATTATATGACATTTTCAGAAATGGTGTAAATGCCTTCTTCGAGCTTATGGAAATGTTGCTTGCTCTATTGGAATGGATTTCATATACAACATATAGTAATTAGCAAGCAGATATTGCTTTAGATCAATAATTGTGTGCATGATGGAGCTGTATACGCTAACCTATTCAAAATGATTTTTCCAGTAAGCATAAACCTAAACCTTTGTCACAGTACACAGTATTGTAGTTAAGTAATTAGCTAATATTTTCTTTTTGTTATTTTATCCATAAGATCGGTATTACGTTGCACACATTTGAACTACTACTGTTTATATTTATGGTGACATTAAGTTTCAATAAAGTTACATTCCGTGGAATTGTTCGTGCTGTATTTGACAACAAAGACAACAAGAATCATTCCACCTCAATAGCTACATATACCTGTATTTAACAGCCAATACTCCTCTGTGCCCTCACATATTGGTAGATATTTTAGTTGATGTGCTCTGAGTATATATGAAAATCTGTACCTGTTAGGTTTAGGGTTAGGGTTAGTATTAGCTCATACTCATATGTGTATGCTACAGTAAAATTTATAATGTGTTTTTTTTATTAAACTTTGTCTTTTGAAAACGTTCAGGTTAGAGAAGAAAGAAAGAAAGAAAAGAAATCACAGCTGTAGAAACTTAAAATGCCAATCAAATCTACAGAGAGCAGAAACGAGTACTCTGAATTGTAAGAACAAAACACCCTATAGCATCCCTCCTTTCATTTCCTACACCCAGTGACCCAGTTTAGGGTCGCGAGGGGGATACAACCTCTCCCAGCTTGGGTGGAGCAGGTGCTGAAATAAAACCTAAACAGGCCAAATGTATGTGTTTGTGAAATGTGTCTGGACAAAATACTGCAAGCGCCTTCTTCTGCATGGCTGCTCTGCTCATAACAGTGTTGTATAAACGGTCAACAATCCTTCATCTCGCACTCAGGCCAGAAAGCTGTGATAAATTATTGATGAGTATCAATTAGCAATGACCTGGAGACAAAGATCTAATGACAAACAATGTTCAAGTGGTTCAGGTTTCTTACTCTGAGCTGGTAAATTCTATTAGTTTCTCCCCTTTTTCAAACATTTGGAGATAAGTGTTAACACAGATTGGTATTGATGCTTCCGCATGTTTACAAACCAAAGAACTTGATGATTATTGGACACTTTGTAGCTACATATGTTTCTGCCTAAAATCTTTGAAGGCCCAACCTTAAAATGCAGTCCGATAGTATTGAGAAAACCCAGACTAACACAATCACTGAAAAAGACAGATGATCAAGTGAAAGGACAAAAAAAATAATGTAAAACAGCTCACTTTGATTTGAGGAGGGCAGGTAACGTTTGCAGGTATACGAGCAACACCTCCACAGGCAGACACTGCGTATGATAGCTGCAGACCTGAGTACACACAGTGGAAACTCCCAGCTGTTGGGCATGGTGAGCTAGTTCTACTCCTCTCTGAAGCACAGGGTTGAAGATGTGTGTGTAGAGCTGCCACTGCACAATAGCATTGCCCCGCAGGGTCAGGTGGCAAACATGGCCAGCTATCTGCTGACTCAGCTGCCAGTCCTCGCCAAACACGAGCTCCTGATAGGCCTCGAGGGCGTCCCACTTCCACAACATGTCCTCTGCCCCCCCTCCACTTGGCAGAATACCTTGGGAGCGGTAGCACAGACTGGTAGAAACTGCGGAAGGTTCCCCATGCTGCAGTGTTTCCTCCAGGCCTGGCAGCTGACTGCTGTCGAGAGTGCAGATGTTACAGGAAGCCAGTTTGGCTTTCTCTGAGGGCTGTCCCCCGCCAAGCTGGTCTAGGATCAGTCTACCCAGCACACTGAGAACATGAGACTGGTAACTACGCAGACCAGGAGCCTGGAAGGCATGCAGCAGGGGTCCTACAACTGAGCGGGGGTCCATACAGCAGCATATTCCAACAGCCTGCACCCCAGCAAGCACCTGAAGTACAGCTGGTCCACTCGGGGAGAGGCGTTGCAAGAGCCGCAAACATTGGTGAGCACAGGCAGCCAAGCAGCAGCACCTCTCAGGGTAGCGCACTGTGTCCCCATCCATCCCTTCCTTGCCGTCTCCATCTTCTTCAAAGGGGTTGCGTCTAGCTGCCTGCTTGAAAGCAGAGACGGGCAAACCTGACAGGTCTCTGTGGTGATGCAGGAAGTGTGAATATTCACAGCGACGATGACGGCGTCGGGCACACACGGACTGATGCAGCTGCTCTGACTTTGCCTTTTTGACAGCACTTATGATCTTGAAGACCCCTGCAATGAGACCTCTTAGCCTCTCAGAAGCCTCACCTCCTACTTCAGAATCCCTCGCCCTGCCAAGCCCCTCCAGCCGCAACACGGTGGCCTCAAAAAGCTCTAGTCCCTGGCGTTGGACAAATTCATGGATGAGCTCCAGTGCCTGGCTGAAGAAGAAGGGGTTGGGTGTGGAAGCCTGCAGGCAACCCAGCAGCACTTGCAGTACTCCCTCTAGAAGCTCTGGCAGCAGTAACGCCCTGTGACGATAGCGGGAGAAAGAAAAGTCATCCTGGACCTCCTGCAAGGTTTTCTTGGGCCGAGGAGCAAAGGGGTCGGTCTGTCTGTCCAAGCAGCTTCGAATTTTGAGGGTGGCCCGTAGCAGGTCTGTCAGACTGCGTCTCAGGCTGTCTGGAAGGGTTTCACTCTGACTCACATCAACTGACATCAGGTGCAAGATGGTGCGTAATAGCATCCTCTGGACCAAGGCGATGGGCTCTTCGGTCCAGCCTCCAGCAAGCTCCTCTGCCCCGGTTCCACCACCTCCTCCTCCTGGACCACAACAGTCACCGAATTCGGTTAGGATCTCAGTGAGAGTCGGGACAACACTGACCGCCAGGCCAGGGTTGTGGTTGATGTTCATGTCAAACTTACACACCTTCTCCAACAAGGAAAGCAACACATGACATAGATCAAATGGTGAGTTCTCCATGCGGTTAAATATTGATATTGCAGCCGGGTCTGTCAGGGTTTCAGTGTCCGCTGTCTGGGACACAGGCGCTCGGGGATGTGGGTATGGTGCACTCATGATTTCTGTGGTGGTGCTGGCGGTGGATGGGAACTGCGGGGCCTCCGAACGATGATGCTGACAGCTTAACCTGATGGTCGAACCATGTGGTCTTCGACTCCTCACACCTCCTGGGCCAACTTTGTCTTCAGAGTTCGCTTCTGAATCTGAGGTAGAAACCTGGGACTTGCGAGCATCCTTTACAGAGTATCTCTGTGCTGCTCGGTGCGACCTCCTTGACTTCCAGGTTCCGCTGCCAATGCGGGACCTCTTCCCAGAGGTCTGCTCATCTGTTGCAGCCTTCTGTCCTGTCCTGAGAGGGACGGCCTTCACCTCCCGGCCGAGGAATACCTCCAGTAGGGATGGCAGCGTGAAATCTGTCCACACACAAACAATATCAATATAATCTTGACATACATATAAACATACAGTACCAAGTGTGCTTCAAGACCCTAAATTATATATTTAAGTAATATAGGTTATTTATTTTTGTTTTTTTAATGTAAGAATCAAATTTCTAAGCACTATGCTGAAAAACACTGGATTTTGCACTTCAAAAACAATATTTTTCTTTAGAGTACAAGATGAGGATCATAAAGCTCTGCTGCATTAGAGCAGCCATGGCCTCTCCAGTGTATTTAGCATCTTCAGTGAGAAAAAATTAATTAAAGTAAAAATGTCTAGGGTCCATGTTAGAGAGGATCAACAGCCCTGTACTAAGTATCAGTGTCATCCTGAGGTGACAAGCTTCTGCAGCCACATGTCTTCTCGTCCTGCCTGACTGTTAATGTTATGCAATGCTAAGCTCTATTATACAGGAGAAATTGGCGGAAGAGATTCTGAATCTCAAATTCAGTATAGTGGTTAGTTCAAACCCATGAATAAAAATATATAATTTTAAGAGACATTTTTACAGCAGAAGGCAATCTGCACACGTCCCATTGCCTTCACATTAACCCATCAAACCTAAAGCTAAAACACTGCTGATAACTGACGACAATAACTGGTTAAGATTTATGTAAAAGACGGAAGATACAGTACAATTATATTAAAAAGGAAACTACAGAGTATAAGATTTCTGGCCCACAAAAGACAGACAGCATTTATTTTCTTTTGTACAGATTATATAACTGTTTCCATATCACAGAGAAGTATAATGCATGTTTTCATAAAATAAAGTATGTGAATTGAAAATGTTAGTTGCAGAGCTTGAATAAAAAGTAGTCACATGCCATTGCAACAAGACAGCGAGAGGTATGTGCTTTTAACGTTGATCAAGAATTAGTAACCGAGTAAGTATTTGTGGGTAATCACCTGGGGCTTTTTCCTCCTGCACAGGGATCTTCCAGACCAGCGGCAGTAGAGACAGCAGCAGAGTGAGCAGCTCCTCTCGACAGGTCAGCTCCTGAGAGGACAAATAAAACATACCACAGTGGGGTTACTTAGAATGCCTTCTTGCCCCTCTTCCTCACACTCCAATGTCACATTAAGACCCTCCCACCAGGACACACTTTTGTCCATATTTAAAACAAATGTCCGTTCGTGGTTTTACCACATTCTGCTAAGACAAATCATACAATTGATTTGCTTTGTATCTTAATTTACTAAGTCACTTTCTAAATTGAATTTCTGCCCAGGAGCTTGTTATTTATTTGTGTGCAGTTAGCTAGCGAGTTAGCTAGCGTTCTGGGCATGTGCGTTAGAGAACAATGTGGCATCTACATGAGACCTTACTTCTGAGACCTGGGGGATCTATTCAGTGAATAACTCACAGCAGGGAGAGAACCACTTCCTTCATGTGTTAATTAAAAACAATCAACCTACTCCTTCATGTGTGAATTAAATCATAATCAGCTTGCTAGGGTTTAATCACTGTCACTCCATCATTAAAAAGATTAAAAAGGTTAAAAACAATAGAACGGCTGCAGTGTAACAACAATAAACAATTGTAGAACAAATGATTTTAAGAACTCTGAAGATATGGATCACCACCAAATTGTAAACACTGATAAATATCAGTTCCCTAAACATGCATGATTTAAAAAAAAAAAAAAAATCTAAATCAAGATCCGTGCATTATGCTCTGACAAATTCTTGAAAATGTTGAAATGTGTCCAATTACGCTGACAAAGAAGTCACTGTATCAGTACCAAAATTGTATAGGTTCTTCCCAGGCTCAGGCCCCATCCCTCAACTAAGTTTGGTGGAAATCGGTTTGGTAGTATTTGTGTAATGCTGTCAACAAATAAACCAACAAACAGACACAAGTGAAAACATAACATCCCTGGTGGAGATAATTAAAAACAGAAAATTATCATCATTTTGATGTGTTTTGTCATGAGTTTTAACATGCCTGTTGAAAATTACTTTACAAATCTAATAAATAAGAGATGACCCATCATTTAAAAAGACATGTGGCATTTAAACAATGTCAGAAATAACAGGATGGGAGTATTTAATAGCACAATGTAGTAAAACTAAGACAAAACATTTTTTTTTCATTTTCTACTGAATTCTGAAAAATGATTTATAATTTTACATTATTTAAGATCAATTGATCTAAACCTCAAATAAAAAACCTTTATAGTGTCTGGCCCCAATTGTCATTACAGGCTTTACTCCATTCAGGTCACAGCTGACGCACATAAGCTGGAGATGTGATAAGACACACATAATGCATTTAACTGAATGGAAAACAATGGCAAGTGTGTGCGTGAAGTTGTCGAACAATATGAGGGCATAGGACGCTGACACACATGGTCACTTTGTATTATTTCAAGTCATAATGCATTTGTTACTCCAAGCCAGCACGTCATGTTCTGCTTGGTTAGGAAAATACACTGTTGGACGTGAAGAAGACTGAGCTCAGGATCCCAGCTTTCTTTCTAAAGTCTTTTAAAACCAGATGGGTCATCAGACCACCTCAACGGCCATGACACACTGTAGTCCTCGGAATTGTTTAGCTAGTTTACCCACTGATCTCATAAAATCGTGATCATCTCACAGTTTTATGCAGCGTGACTCGTGAGTCTGACTCAGCAGCTGCCACATGTATGTCAAGAGGAACCGATGGAGGAAGGCGCCAAACCCAAACACTGAGAAGTCAGATTGTTTTCAACTTATTCCTGCTTCCACACTTTCTTGTGCAGTGCTCTACTTGTGATGTGAAAGCCCATTCATTTATTGCTGAACTTGTTAGTTGACCTAAAAACACAGATGAGATTAATATGTAGAGTAAATATACTGTGTGCTGCAGCCTGGTCTCTTCCTGTGAAGTCTACAGACATCAGTGTGTAAGCAGAGGAAACACTGGGCTCCGTCAGAACCTGATAAAGTATTTACAAGTAGACACAATTTCCCTTCGAGGTACAATACTGTCCAAACCAAATCTGTAAAATCCATTTTGAAGCAGAGTAGCACTGACACATTTGGTGTATTGGATGATAAATATATAAAGGAAAAATACGCATGAATGTTTAAAATTGATTTGTTAATCAGCATCAACATCTTTTGTGCAGCAGCAGTAGAACATTCTGCAATCAACCATGTGGGCATGGTTAAACCTATTTCTACTAAAAATAGTCACCCTGCAAATTGTATTTACAACAGGCACAGAGGTATAGAGGGAGCATGAGTGGCCTCGCAACAAATACATAGACAACATTTTCCATGTGGTGCTATAAAGTAAGAATTTTATAAATCCTGAAGGAAATTCTTGTTGCTCCA